TTAGAGATACCTAACTTATCACTTTGCATGTAATACACTAGAAAATGATTACTATTATTAGGATTACTGCGTTATGAGCTTATGGGGAACACATTCCTAGTTACTTTTAATAATCTGAATATAAATAAATACTTAGTTCAAAGCTATCTTTTTATTGTTTTTATTTTATTTCAATTTAAATCCCCCATTTTTATATAACGACTATCGAGTTAAACATTTGCTATTGACAATATTCTTCCATATTCTCTGTGGGATCGACCCCGACTCATAGTTGGGTAAATATATTGCATACGATCGTTTATATTTCTTTTCAAGAAGTATATTTGAACGTTATCATCCGCATAAAGACCGATCTCAAACTGGCTATTTGCTTAAGTGTTGGGCACAACAATATCTTGGCAATCAATGAAGCAAACATTGGTGGCCACTTCTTCAAATCATGCAGAAATAATAGCCATTCATGAAGCAGTTGAGAGTGCGTCTGGTTGAGATCAATGACCCACCATATTCAGGAAATGTGTGGTTTTTCTTTGAGAAAGAATATACCAACCACAATGTACGAAGATAATGTTGCATGTATAGTTCAATTGAAAGGAGGATACATCAAAGGAGACCGGACAAAGTATATTTCACCAGAGTTTTTTTTTCACACATGATCTTCAACAAAATGGTGAGATAGAAGTTCAACAGATCTGTTCAAGTGATAATCTTGTTGATTTATTCACGGGGTATTGCCAACATTAATGTTTGAGAAGTTGAGATACAAGATTTGAATGCGTCGTCTACGAGATATCAAGTGAAACTTTCATCAGAGGGAGTGAAATACGCGTTGTACTATTTTCCTTAACCATGGTTTTGTCCCAAGTTGGATTTTTCTGGTAAGATTTTTAAATGAGGCAACATTTAAAGCGTATTATGAGATGTGTGTACTCTTTTTTCTTCACTAGGCTTTTTCCCACTGGATTTTTTCTAGTAAGGTTTTAAAGAAACACATTATCTATTGATATCCAAGGGGGTGTGTTATAAATCTATTGTATTGTGTAGATTGTCTATTACATCTATCCAATAATTAATTCAATTCATGTATGGGTGCTCCCAAGATGATAAGAACATTAATGGATAAACATGTATCTACTAATTTGGTGACCTTTGGGAGTGATATCTCAACACTATAAATAGAGATATCACTTACCATTTGGATGACACACTTGAATAAGAAGAAAAGTCTTCTCCTTCATCTACTTATCTTGTCTTCTTCGCTTAATATTATATTGTTCGGAGCTTGATTTTATAACATATTTAGGTTAGTGTCGAATATATAAGATAATATTGATATTTCTCTTCATCTACGATGTGATACATATAAAATATAATATTTTTTTGCATCTTTTCAAGTGCAAACTATCCATATGTATATAGTAGAACGAAATATTCACCGTGGTGAAGTAAATGGAATAAGAGGTAATATTTTGAAATAACAATATATTATATTATGTTGAAAATATTTTGTATGTTTTAATTTCCTCTATCTTTTGTAGGGGTACTAATTTTCTATACAAATTCTAATTTTGTAAAAAAGAATTTGAATTTTATTTACTGTGTCTTTATTATTACATTTGCTTATTATACCTTTTTAAACACTAATTAAATATTTATAAGAATTATGAAAAATGAAACATACAAAAGTTATGAATAATATTTAAGATTAGAAGTTACAAGTATGATGAAGAGACATGAGTTATAAATAATTCAAATGTACAATTTTATTAGACATTAAATGCATTAATAATTACGCATTGATTTTCTTTGTAAAATAAATAAATGAAAGTAACGGGTGAAAATATATATATAAAAAAAGAACAAAAAAAAATATAATAATCAATGACTGTATAAATATTATAAATACATTTCAAACAAAAAAGAATAGCGACGAAAATAGATTGTTACATGCGCAAAAAAAAGGGCATCATGAAATCAATATTTTATTTTTTCAATTACTTTTTGCAAGTATAATAAAAATGAAACTCCTAATCATCACAATTTTTGTTGTTGTTGAAATGAGATAATTATATTAATTGTGCTTCATAAAAAGGACCAAATGATAAGCATTGACAATACATGTAGCTAAATTATTTATACAAACCAAAGTTTAATTATTTTTTTAGCAAAAGTAGCTAAATAACTAATACAAGTCAAAGTAAAAATGTTTTAGCATTTCCCCCCCCCCCCCCCCCTCTCTTCTATCATCTTTCTTTGCAAGTAGATCCACCATCATATTTTGCTCCATATGTCAAATTCTTCATCATACGCTATATCAATTGGATAAAAAAATATGAATAAAAAAAATATCATATACCAATTAAAAAATAATTATATTAAAAGAAAGAAGAAATTTAAACTATTTGTAATACATCTATGTATTATTTTTTCAATAGTACTAACAATAATCATCTCTTGAAATCTAACAAATATTATAATCAAATTACATTATATTCCACAAACTGACTATTAGAAAGAACAATTGTATACTGACAACACATTATTCATTATTAGTAAAGGTATTTTTTTTTTTATCATATTTGCTTAGCGAATGATAATACATACATAAATAAAATATTAAGAAAGCATGTCCAAGTAAAAAAAATAAATGAATATATCTTACCTTCTTTTACTTCTTTTTTGTTACATGTTAGTTAATTCACAAAAAATATGATGAAGAAGGAAAATGATAATGTTGAATGTGAATCTTCATGAAACTAAATATGAATTTATATAGGCAAAATAGAGGAAATGAAAAATAAAGACTTAGAGAATGAAATGAAATATCTCTTACCTTCATGTACTTCTTTTTTGTTACTTGTTAGTTCATTCACAAACCAATATGATGAAGAAGAGAAAGGATAATATTGAATGTGAATCTTCATGAAGCTAAATATGAATTTATAGGCAAAATAAAGGAATACCATAAGACATTATAAACTTACAAATTTAAGTTTGGAGGTTATGGACATAAAAATTATGGGAGTTATGAATATTATTAAAAGTATAAAGAGGTGTAAGTCATGAGTAATAAATCCTCATGAATAAATTAAATAATAAAGAGAAAAATACTTAAAATATAAAGTAATATTTTCATTTTATGGTTACAAGTGAGGCAAACAAATAAAAAAAGAATGTGAAGAGTTTTTATTGTAAATGTTCCCCCTTTAATAAAATATTTATTTGTAATAAATTAAGTAATTTACTTTTACGATACAATAATTAATTTAATAAGAAAACAAGCCAAAAAAAGGAGAAAAAAGATAAATGCAAATGGAGGCCATAAAGAGGTGTCACATCACCTTGTCTATGTTTCTCCTTAATTATTATATATATAGATAGATATAAATTCTATAATTTTTAAAGGTTACTACGGTGCCAATTCTTTGCTAATATTTTCTTTTTCCTTTTGATTTTTTCATTCTGCCATTACTCATTTTATTTATTTTTTAATATTGATTTTGAATAGCATCTTGATTTTTCATGGGTTACATAGTGTTTAAAACAAGGTTCAATGGACAATTGACGTGATAACAAACAAGGGAAAGAGGGAACACAAACTCGGAGAAGAAAGAACGTAACGAATAAAGTGGATGCGAATTATTATTCTTACAAAATTATTTATTCGAGATGTGATTTTAAATATGCAAAATCCATTCACAATTTCAACATCCCTAAAATGACTTTCTTATCTTTTAAGTAGGTGTTTGGACATTATTCAAAAAATAAATAATGTTATTTGATTTTTAGGAAGATTGAGATGTGTTTTGTTATACTTATTGCAAAGAATATTTGGAATAATATTCATGATTTAATGCTTTAATTTACAACTTCAAAAATGACAAGTAGGATGGAAAAACAATTTTAAATTTGAAATACAACTTCCAGTTGGATAACTGTATTTGGAATTTTCATCATCATATATATTGAGTTTCAAATAAAATAAAAAAATATTCCAAACAATACTAAATTTGGAGAGAACTTTTTACAAAACTTATTCACTTAACTATGATTCTGATACTTGTTAATGCAATATAATCGTGATCTTTAAAAATTAAATAAGACACATGTTTTCATCTAAATATATAGTTAACAAAATAGAGACAAAGTGTAATGAAGGGGAGCCAAATCTACGAAAGTCATCACAAACTCAATTATTTGACATGATCCATTAAAAAAAAAGAACCTAATTTGTCAATGACAACCATGTTTAGAAAGCAAAAAAATGCAAGTAGCTCCATGTTTGAAATAGTCAACTTTGTAGTTTGTCAACAAAGTGTTCCATTTTTTTTTAATAGAAAATTAAAGAAGAAACCAAAAGAAAAGACACAGGATATTCCTATGCAAGTAGATTTTTGCTCAATCAACTAGCTAGAGGCCAAAAGGTATGTTTACACTGATTCTCTTGATTCTACTTCATATCTTTGTACTCAAACAAATTGCTAAAGTTTTCATGATCTGTTTCATGCTCACAAGAACATTGTTAATTAGTGTTAAGACAGCCACTAAATGAAAGATACTGTGTTTTTCATGTTGTTAAAACTCCTTTAAAAATTTTCAACAATTCCTATCCAGATTTCAATAGATTTATATTTAACAACAAAAGGAAGACGGGGAAAAGTGGAGGAAAGGAAAAAAACCTTGCAACCCATGATATCTGAAAGCTCTTCCATATTTGAAACTTGGGTAACATGATAGATAGTGCTCTTAAGCATGTTCATATGCAACCCTGAAATAAGGGGAAATCGAACTCTCACTAATAAGGTGGGGATTCAGATTATCAACCAACTGAGCTACTAAGATTCCCCTTGCATCTGTGATTTGTCGTCCCCTAACAAAAGCATTTTGTATTCCTGACACCAATTTCCCAATCACTGTTTTGGGTCTTTCTGTCAATAGATTTGATGCAATTTTGTAGACACTACTAATAAGGCTAATTGGTATGTAATCCTTGAGTTCAATTGCCCCTTTCCTCTTAGAAATCAAGGAAATAAATAAATGATTGATAGATTTTACCATGAAATACTTCAAGCATGTTGAGAAAATGTCATAGTAAAGTCGTCCGGTCCTGGTGCCTTATCTGGGACACAATGTTTAATGACTAAGAAGATTTCATCCTCTTCAAGCTCCCTTTCCAACCAAATTCTTTCTGCTTCAGAGATTCTAGTTCTATCTATATAATAAGTGGTAAATATATAAAATTATTATTTGCAACATGAGAAAAAGTTTCATCTAGGGTTCAGAATAGTAATACAAACCTACTTACTGTCATACTTTCTAATTTCCAGTTGTAGAAAGATTGTTTATATACTCAAAACTTTCATTTGACACCTACTTCAGGTGGGAGACTAGAGAGTCTAGAGACAATGCAGCCATGGATGACATTAGGTGCTTCATTGGTGGCAAAAGCTGTTGACTATACGGTGGCCCCTCTCGGCAATCAACTAAGATATCTTTATCAGTATAACAAAAATACCGACAATCTGAGAAAGCAAGCTGAAAGGTTGCAAGAGAAGACACAAGATATCCAAGCATTGGTGAACTATGCCAAAAGAAATGACAGAGAAATCAAAAGCACAGTTAAAAATTGGTTACAAGAGGTAGATGCAATCACTGCTGAGATCAAATCATGGGATGATAAAACTCAAAACTTGAGCAAAATGTGCCTCCCTCATCTGGTCTCACGGTATAAGCAGAGCAAGATGGCAACTAAAAAAATCATGACCATCCAAGAACTTCTTGGTAGAACTCTCACGGAAGATGTATCCATACCGCAGGCCCCTCCTTTGAATATACCATTCATTTCTGACCAAGAAAAACCCGAAAAGGACCAGGTTATTGAGATGGTAGCAAGTAGTTCATCTGATGTATCCATACCGCAGGCCCTTCCTTTGAATATACCATTCATTTCTGACCAAGAAAAACCCGAAAAGGACCAGGTTATTGAGATGGTAGCAAGTAGTTCATCTGATGTATCCATACCGCAGGCCCTTCCTTTGAATATACCATTCATTTCTGACCAAGAAAAACCCGAAGAGGACCAAGTTATTGAGATGGTGGCAAGTAGTTCATCCGTTGTTGGTCAAAACGTCAGTAGAGCAAATGGTGCTCTGCTAAGTGCGGATGATGTTTCTATCAAGCGAAGACTAACCATGGATCCAATTATTGCTTATCAGCTAAGAAAAAATGTGGCAAACATTATTCACCTGCAAAGAGAAGCAGTGAATCAGATCATTGAGGAACTAAAGGATGACCACTATAAGGGGATAGGGATTTATGGCATGGGGGGCATCGGTAAGACCACTCTTGCCGTAGAAGTAGGGAAATTGGCTAGAGACTGTGGAATTGTTAAGGAAGTTATAATGGTGGTTGTTTCCCAAACGCCAAACATAAGAAAGATCCAGGGTCAAATTGCGGATATGTTAAATCACAGACTTGAGGAGGAAAGCACATTAGGAAGAGCAGGTAGACTTTATACGCGACTGTCCAATGAGAGCGTACTTCTCATACTGGACGATGTTTGGTCATACATTGACTTAGCAGAGATAGGGATCCCTCATGGTGATGAGCACAAGGCCTGTAGGATTATGCTTACCACGCGACAAAAAGATCTATGTACAGCTATAGGGACCAAAGGAATACCATTGAAACTTTTATCAGAAGAAGAATCGTCGCATTTATTGAGGAAATATGCTTGCACGAGCACTTCTGACCTTTGTCCGGAGTTGGATAGCATGGTCATGAATTTTGTCAAAGAATGTCAAGGCCTGCCATTGGCACTTGTGACTGTTGGAAGTGCATTACGAGGAAAAGAACAAGTGGAGTGGGAAGCAGCACTACAGCTCCTTAAGAAGTCCCAACCCTTTAGCCCCACTTATGCAAGCAAGACCATTTTCTCCTGCCTGGATTTGAGCTACAATTTTTTGGAAAATGAGGAAATCAGGTTGTGCTTTCTGATGTGTTGTTTGTACCCAGAAGATCGTGAAATAAGTATTGAAGACTTGACTAGAGACTGGACAGGAAAAGGGCTGTTCTCAGATGTGGACACTATTGAAGAAGCTAGAGCCAGAGTGTGCTTAAGAGTTGGCCAACTTAAATCATCTTGCCTGTTGCTTGATGTTGGGAAGGAGGGTTTCGTTAAAATGCATGATGTTGTTCGTGACTTTGCTATATATATAGCATCTGAAGAGAAGCATGGATTCATGGTAAGAGCTGGTCACAATCTGAACAAGTGGCCACCAAGGGAGTCATTCAGCCAAAAAACAGCTATTTCCTTCATGAACAATAATATCCATGTGCTTCCAAGTGATGTACATTGCCCCAATCTTCAAATTTTACATCTTGGAGAAAATGAAGGTCTTGAACAGATACCAGTGGACTTTTTTATACAGATGAAAATGCTCCAGGTTTTGGATTTAAGTGAAAGGGTTGGTATCCATTCACTAAATCCTCTCTATCAGTTAGTCCCGAATGCCACAAGAAAAAATACATTTCCCCTCAGTTTTCCATCATCCGTTGAAGTTCTCACAAACCTGCGAACTTTACGTTTAGACCACTGCAAGTTAGCTGATGTATCTATTCTTGGAAAATTAAAGGGCCTGGAAATTTTAAGTTTATACGGGTCCTCTATCACACAACTTCCAAATGAATTTGGGGACTTGGTTAATTTGAGACTATTGGATTTGTCATTCTGTGTGTACCTTCAGAAAATCCCGGAGAACTTGATATCGCGCCTTGTTCAATTAGAAGAACTTTATATGGGTTGGAGTTTTCGATTGTGGCAGCTAGCTGATGGATCTGCTGAAGGGAGTGGCCAAGCAAGCTTGTCTGAGCTAATGTCGCTGCCCCAATTAAATATTTTGTGTGTGGAAGTCTCCACCCTTCTAGCTTTCCCTGAGAACTTTGATCTTCCTAGCATACACAAGTTTGAGATAACAGTAGGTTACCACTCAGCTATATGTTATCCAAACTCTAGGAGGTTCTATCTTAGAGAAATAAAGACTGGTATACCAAATGGGATGAAGCATATGCTTCAATTCTCAAAGGAATTGACAATGTTCTGTGCATCCAAGGTAATACTGAAAAGTATCTTTGATGTCGAAGGGGGCTTAAATCACTTGAAAACTCTTGAAATAACTGCCAATGATGAAATTACCTATTTCATTGATGAGGTTCTTCATAGCGATGCACCTTTAGTTTTAGGATCTTTGGAGAAATTACATCTTCGGACGTTCAAGAAGCTATTTTCACTTTCTGTCCGCCCAATCAAACCAGGTTCCTTCCAGAATTTGCGGATTCTAAGGGTTGAAAATTGTCATAATTTATTTTTTCTAATTCAAACTTCCTTGCTCCAGAGGCTATCAAGTATTGAAGAAGTTCATGTGTATTCATGTAACAAGTTACTCGATATATTTCAACTTAACGAGGCAGCTTTTGATGAAGAACAGAAGCTCCTCTCAACGCTCAAAAAGATCTGGTTAGCTAGATTGCCTACGCTGTTCGAAATCTGGAGAGTACCTAAGCAGTTACTCCTGAATGCAACCCTTCAAAATAAACAATGCTTCAGTAACATAACTGATGTGTTGATTAGGTATTGTGATAACTTGGAATATGTATTCCCATCTGTAGCTGCTCAAAATCTATGTCAACTGGATAATCTCCAAATTGTGGAGTGCCACAGATTGACAAGAATCATAGGAGAAGAACCAGAAGGTGTCTCAGCAAATGTTCAAAATGGACATGTTTTATTTCCCAACCTCAGAGCTGTTCATATAGGAAGCTGCAGAAACCTGAGAAATCTATTTTCGATTATGACAGCTCGAAGTCTTGGCAAACTAGAAGAGTTAAAGGTAAATGACATGCCAAATCTGGTAGAACTCATAAGCAATGAAGAAAGTGAAAGGGAAAGGGAAGAGGAAAACGATAAAATAATCGTGCTGCCAGAGTTGAAAGTCCTGAGAATTACAAAATCTGGAAACGTGGAACGGCTTTGTACAGAGGCTTTCTTTATGGATCTACCATCGTTAGAAGAATTTGTTCTTCTGGAGTGTCCTAAAATGGCTGACACTGTTAAACGTGGACTGGGTAGCGCATCAAATCTTCTTAAAGCACAGATTGAGGAACAATCATTCTTTGGCACAATGGCACGAGAGGTTTTCAGTAGAAAGGTGTGATGAATCACCAATCACTAGTTGGTACAGGTACACTGTTGTGGATGCGTTGGAAGCCCTTAAATTAAGTATTTAACTATATTTTTTGTTGTTTTATTTATTATTCTAGAATAAGATTTATGTTTCATAGTTTCATAAGGATTAGGTTAAATTATAGTTATTAGTTTGGAATAAGATTTAGGTCTCCTAGTTTCATAAGAATTAGACTTTCTATTGATGTAATAAGACTCCTATTTAAAGGGGCTTTTGATGAATAAATTTCAGTTAGTCATAATTCAGCAAAAAACAGGAGATTAGAGTTATCTCTTCCATTGAACTCTAAGGTTTCAGTCTGCCTTTGAAGAGCTGAAGAGATCGGAGTTCTCTTTTAATGAATTCTAAGGTTTCAGCCTCCCTTTAACGAGCTGATTTATATATCGCCTTGTGAATCGATCCTTCCCTTAAGATTCATAACAATTTGGTATCAGAGCTTAACACAATGGGCGATGAGATCAGTTCTCGATTTCAAGGAGAACATACCATTATAGAAACCCTAATGGACTCTAAAATTGTAGCAATGGAACAACGCCTCATCGAAAGAATTGTTCAAGTCATCCAAGAACAATTGTCTAGATTGGGAATTGACTCCACAAAACCAGTAACCCACAAACCTGGGTCAAATAGTGCCCAGACAACTAGCAGATCAACAATTCCTGCTACAAAAGGCAATACACTACCTACTTATAACGGCACCAATAATCCATTAATTCGAGCACATCGTTGTGAACATTTTTTTGAAAAAAATCAACATACAATGATAGCAAAAAAGATTGGTGTTGTTGGATTTCACATGTTCGGACTAGCACCATTATGGTATTATCAACTTAAATGAGCGAAAGGCTCAATGAGTTGGGAAGAATATCAGGGATTTGGACCCCATGAAAGTAGCAATCTGATGGACAAATTAGTCATGCTTCAGCAAACTGATAGAGTCGAAATTTATCAATGTCAACTATAAGCTAGGTCTGGAATTGGATAAGTTGATGATTGCCGTGAAATTCGAGCTTGAGGACAAGCTCTTTCCACGTAAGAGGGGGTAATGTTGTGGATGCGTTGGAAGCCCTTAAATTAAGTATTTAATTATATTTTTAGTTGTTTTATTTATTATTCTAGAATAGGATTTATGTTTCATAGTTTCATAAGGATTAGGTTAA